ACAGGGCCTGTAGGCCCTCGTTTTCAGGCTTTTAGGCTGAAAACACACAGGGCCTGTAGGCCGTCGTTTTCAGGCTTTTAGGCTGAAAACGACACAGGGCCTGTAGGGCCCTTATTTTCCATCTGGTCGGGCCCTGCAGGCCCACGTGGCTGCGCAGTATGCCACAATCTGGGTCCTCGGCAGGCCTAAGGGGCCCTGTTGCAAATGTGCCCGCCCTAAGTGAAGGCGGGCCTAACAAATCACGAGAGGCCCTCAGCTGCCAATTTCGTATTTGGGGTCCAGGCAGTTGCGACGTGCCAGTTGGTTGAGGGAAACACAGGCCGAACAGCAAGGACATTCCACGGCCTTCCAGGCCTTTCCAAAGATGCAGGCCCTGGGCGCGAATCGCAGCCTCATACACAGACAGTTGGGAGGCCCAACCGAATAAGGCCCAGTAACTGCAACAGAGGCGCTGCATCCTGGGGCCTACCGAAAGCTTCTGGGCCGAGGCCCAGAACAGCCAGGTCGCAAAGGCAGGCAGGCTCTTTCCATATAGGAAGGAGCTCGCTGCCTGGCAAGGCATTCGGGCACTTGCATGCTAACGGGAGTGCTGCTGGAGCGGACGCTCGTGGGCTGCTGCTGGCGCTGAGAGGCAAGGTGCAACCACGTGTGGTCGTGTATGAGTGAGGGCAGCGCCATCGCCCAGCCTCCATAGCTGGATGGGCTTGGACTACAGTGGGGCGCGGGGGTGGTCTTCGGATGTACAGAGGGAAGACGTGACTGTAAGTCAGGGGAGAGAGAGAGAAGAATGATGATGATGATGATGTGAGGGCACATACCTGGTATTGGCGATGGTCTGCTAAGGGCAACATCTTCAAGTACTTCATGGGCTGCTGACGTCAACAGTTGCATTGTCAATTAGTAGGCTGGTATTACCTGTGTAGGGAGTAGGCTGGGCGCCGAGCGCCAAGCAGGGAGATAGGCCTGGACACATATGTTGGCGGGTGGCGAGAGCAAGCTCTCATTGGCATTGGTTTTCAGTGTTACGATTCTCCATCGGTGTCTTATTGGTGCAATGCTGCTTTCTGGACACTGTGATACACTCTGGCTTTCAATGGGATTGTGCAATCTGAATATTGTCATCTCGCTACTGCTCATTTTCCTTGCAATTGCATTTACCATTCGAACTCAGGTTTGTGTTTCAAACAAATCCCCGTTCAAGAGCATCTCGGAGACACGGTCGAAGATCTTGCAAGGACAGGCTAAATCCAATGATCTCTCCTTTCACAACAGGCTATGGTCCCCGGAATGAGTTTTTTGATTCCAGGTGTCTTTCATGCATGCTCCACGCATGAAATAAGTCGTGTCCGTCTCGTTTCGGACATCTGCAATGTCCAACTTGGCTACGCCGAAGTGGGCAATTCATTCGGTGACTTGCACGGTCGCCCTTACTAAACCAACAAGAATCTGGACTACGATTCACATTGAGTCCGACTGAGATTGGATTGCCTTTTTGTGCCATTATTTGTTTTTCTTCTTTTGTTTCGTTTTCAATTTTCGAAGTTTTACGTGTAGATTCTGTAGAAGCAAAATCTCCAAATTGTTATGGCCACTTCATGTGTTGTACCACCTAAGATCGGCTAGTTGGTAGGTAACAAGGATTATGGTAACCACCTGCGTTTCAACAGTTCGAGGTTGGGCGAGGAGGAGGAGGAGGGGGAGGATCTTATCTGAGAGATTGAGGTGAGGGTCGGGGGGAAGCTTACCTGGAGAGAATGGGCGCTGCGCTGAGATCCGCACAGTGATATGTCAGTGGCCGTCAGAAGAGATCATGCATTGCTGAAGTGGAGGTAGGAGAGAAGCCTGATGAGGAAGTGGGACAAAAGCGCAACATGCATGTATTATTGATTACTTTCACTTCTCTACTCCTCTTTGCCTCTTCTCTCCTCTATCTCTCTCCTCTCTGCTCTTCTATGATGACTCGCTGCTTTGGACATGAGTATTCAATCGAGTTATGACTGTTATGGACTTCCATTCATGGTTGGGAACATCATATTGAGGTCTGGATTCTTCTTTACGAGGTCAGGTTCATTACAGAGAAGCTCGCAGAGATATGGCAGATCAAGCTCAACACCTTACTCCTCTAAGATCACCGGTTCTATACATGTTCAGTAAGGCCATGCTCTTCCGCCCGCTCTAGTCCATGGAAATGCAGACCTCCTCTTAGATCACCAGCCAACTGGAGACGCTCGCAGAGAGATGGCGGATCAATCTCAGAACCCCCCCCTCAACCAACCGGAGAAGCTCACAGAGAGATGAGAGATGGCAGAGCAAGCTCGGCATCCCTCGTCTTGGATCACCAGTTCTATACGTGTTCAATAAGGCTGTGAGTCTGCATCTCCATGGACTATAGAGGGCTGAACAGCATAGTTATTATTTTAGCTATGTATGTACAGTACGAAGAGTCTTTGCCCAGAACAACCTGAAAACAATGAAAAGTGAACCTCATCAGATTGAGATGAAGCGTCCAGATCAGGACAAGATAGCATTCGGAACGAAGATGTGGAAGCTATGAGTTTAAAGAAATGTGATTTCCAATTTTCCAACGAGGAATGCGCCAGCCACATTTCCAAGGGCTATGGATGGTCACCAACGAGGGCCCTGCTCAGTTGGTACACTCATGAACTGTTGAAAATTGAAATACAGACTCAAGCTCGAATCCAGAGTCCAGATACTACCAGATGAACAGAACAAAGTCATTCTGAATTACCTGGGGCCGATCAGTTCAATGATTATATCTGAAGGCCGTCACCCTTCATTTTAAAAAAAAAGAGAGGAAGGAAGAAAACGAAAAAAAAGGCTATGGCTATGGACGGTCTCTTTGGAGATTACCTGGCCACATTGGTGGTGGTGCATCTCCACAACATCCTTGTATTCAGGAGCTCAAATGAGGAGCAGTGCCTACAGACAGTGTTCAAGCTCCTGTCACAGGCCAAGTACAAGATCAACACAAAGAAGAGCGAGTTGGGAAAGCAAGAGGCCTGGTGTACTTGAATCACACCATCTCTGAGGCCAGAGGCAAAGAGAGGGACACTGATGCACATGGTCCCAGGCTATGTGCCGTGAAGGAGGTGTG